ATCTTCTCTTAAACGACTCAGCGGAAAAACAGCTCCACTGGACTCAACCGCTTTATCCGCTCTACTATATCTAAATTATACGGAAAGCCCTCAACCTTTCAAGCCCACCAGGCCGAAGCGCTATTTGCTGGGGTAGACTTGCCCTCGCTCACGGAGAGCATGAGCACCCTTATGGCCCAAGACATTTCCCTCGAGGAGGTCCTTATGGCCATCAAGTCCCTCAAAACCTCTAAGACACCCGGCCCGGATGGGTTTTTGGCTCTACACTACAAAAAGTATTCAGACACTTTAGCCCCCCACTTAACAGCCATGTTTAATTCTCTAAAGACCAATAACACCCTCCACCCTTCCTCCCTACTGGCCCACATAGTTATGATCCCGAAACCAGAGAAAGACGCCCTTGACCCGCACAACTACAGGCCCATTTCATTACTGAACATCGATGTCAAATTGCCAGCTAAGATACTGGACACCCGCATGAACACAATCCTGCCGGACTTAATACACCGAGACCAAGTGGGGTTTGTTCCCTACAGACAGGCCTCAGACAATACCCGAAAAATCATCCACCTCATACACCACATGCACTGTATTAACACTCCCGGTATGCTTTTATTAGACCTTTAAAAAGCATTTGATATCATATCCTGGGACTATCTTTTCTACGTCCTCCGTAAATGGGGATTCCCGAACGACTCCCTTCTTTGGATCAAAGCCTTATACAGCGCCCCAACAGCTTCAATCCGCTATATTAGCTACCTATCACTCGATTTTCCCATCTTGGGCGGTACACACCAGGGATGCCCCCTCTCGCCCCTCCTTTTCGTCCTGGCCATTGAACCTTTAGCCCACCTAATCAGAATTAACCCCAAAGGACAAACCGACTGTAAACTCCATATGTTCGCTGAAGACATATTGCTTACCCTAACCCAACCCATAGTCTCCCTTCCCAATCTGCTCTCAATTTTACAATCCTTTGCCCAGGTCTCTAATCTAACTGTCAACGCTGATAAATCCTGCGCACTCAACATCTCCCTGACACCACAACAAGTTACTTCCCTTAGTCACAACTTCCACTTTAAATGGCACGCTTCCCACTTAAAATATCTGGAAGTAAACATTTCCCACACCTATGATACTTTGTACGCTGCTAACTACTCTCCACTCTTTAAAACTCTTAAGGACCTCCTGTCCTCCTGGACACGACATAACCTCTCCTGGATGGGCAAAGTCAACGCAGTCAAAATGACCATCCTTCAAAAATTGCTGTATCTTTTCCGCACTTTGCCCATTCCTATCCCCCGCAAGGCATTTGAGCTTTTTCAGACCCAGGTTGTGTCCTTTGTTTGGAGTACAAGGCGCCCCAAAGTATCCAGGTTCACTCTGCATACCCACAAACGTGATGGAGGCCTAGGCCTCCCCAACTTTCAGAAATATCTAGTGGCACACATCGCCTCAATAGTCAGCTTTTTCCAGTCCCCCTATAATCCGCTTTGGGTAGACCTGGAGGCAACACAATGTAGCCCATATTCATTGCGCACCCTGCCCTGGTTGCCCCCCAATCAACGGCCTCCCTCTATGAGCCCCATTTTGACCCACACCTTCTACCTATGGGACTCCACTAGATACTCCAGTAACTTACGGTCCCCACACCTCCCGTTACTCACTATACTAGGAAACCCTCTGGTCCCCCCGGGACTAGACTCCCCCCTGGCATTCACATGGTGGTCTTCCAAAGGACTGACCTCTATGATCTGCTAGATGGCGGGTCGGTCTGTCGATGGGAATATTTTAGGGACAGGAAGGGAGCACCGCCCATTGAACATTTCAGATACCTTCAAATTCGACATTGGGCCACATCAGCGCTCGCACAATCTTCCCCTCGGGCAGGCCTAACAGTATTTGAACATACTTGTAAACGCGACCCACTCAGTCCCAAATTGGTCTCGCTGATCTACTCCGAGCTCAACTCTTTGACCTCCCCTAACAGACACTCCTACGTAGGGAAATGGGAGAGAGACCTCGGAAAACATCACAACCACTGGAGAAATGGCAGCAAATTTGGTCCTCCATGGCCACCTGCTCAATCAATATCTCCTCAGCGGAAACGGCCTTCAAGTCCCTCACAGGCACAGATTGGCCCATCTCCACCCCTCACACTCATCATCTTGCTGTAGGGGATGCTCATCAGTAGGTGATATCCTCCATACGTGGTGGACCTGCCACATGCTTACCAGATTTTGGTCAAGAGTCTTCCATATGCTAGAAAGATTGTTCTCAGTACAGCTCCGCAAGGACCCTTGGCTGGCCTTACTGCACCTTAAATCTCCGCTCCTCACAAAAAGCCAACACCGCCTAGCCACGCACAAGTCCTGCTGGCGGCTAAACAAACTGTGGCTTCGGCGTGGAGAAAGTAATTTGTACCCTTTGGGGAAGTTATGCGGCGCATGGATTTTTTCTGCTTAAACGACCAACTAGCATCCTCGCAGACACCAACAAATCTTTCACTAAGGTCTGGCAACCATGGATAGACCATGCTCATCCCTCCTTGGCCTCAGCAAGTCTCTCAGCCCTTTAGGTTCCCGAGACAAAAATGCTCACTCCAGACGAACCCAGTGCCCCCCTCCTCCTTCCTTCCTTCTTTCTCCAACGCCCCTCCCTTTCTCACCTCTGGGACTACAACTGTACGGATTCCTCAGCCCGCTTGACATAACTTTATCCCGAGGAACCTGGTGACCATACGCCCACAAGTTTACGTCATCAGACAATGTGTACCGTCTCCATGTTTCTCTGATATATGTATGTATCTCAATGCTGATTACTGTGTCTTGTACCCTATATGCTGCTTAAAAACTTAATAAAAACTTTGAAACGAAAAAGCAGCAGTATGGATTAGGATGAGCAGCGCAGATTGGGATGAGCAGTGTGGATTAGACTCAGCAGAATGGATTGGGATGAGCAGTGTGGATTGGAAACAGCAGTGTGAATTGGGATGATCAGTATGGATTAGGATGATTAGTGTGGATTGGGATTTTCAGTGCGTATTGGGATGAGCGGCGGGGGGGATTTTGTTGCTTCTCATTGCTCCCAAATGGCTGAGGGGACCATGGTAAGTGGATGTATTCCAATTACTGGCAGACTCTCCGTGGGCACTTCTCCTTACCGAATAGGATGTTTTTTAGATATCTACAATTACGGCATGCAGTTAGCTCTCAATTTTAGCAACCTGTTGCCCCTAATCGCATTTATAAATTTTTGATCCAGGAATGTCTGGGGAAGATCCTTTCTTCCATTTATCACCGATTTGTCTGGTGTTTCGACTTCTGGAGTGTCCCACCTTTTTTTTTTTGCAAATTGTTTATACAAAGTTTTACAATAAATATTTTATCAAAGAAAAAACGATAACGGAGTTAAAACACTGAAAGAAGACCAAATAGTGCATAGGAAAACGAAAACAGGGCAGCAGTAAATACAATCACCATAATGGGGACTGAAAGTATCATATGGACAAACATACAATAACAAGACAACCATATCGGGGATGTGTGGAATAGCATGAAGGATAACTTTATCAGAAACCCCCAAGTACATCCCCCTTGACATGTGATGTTAACGCAAGTCCCCATGGATCAAACCATTTCTTCTGGCACATCTAGCAGTGTGTGAAAAGAAAGCAAAGCTACTATAAAAGGGCTGGAGGAATAGAATGTAAATAGGAGGAGAAAGAGGGGGGGTGGGATTGAGAAAATAAAGGAGGGAGGAGTAGGGAAAAAATGGAAAGGAACAGAAGCAGGGACTGAAAGGGAACAAGGAACAGCGACCCACCTCCCGCCAAAAGATAGTATGCATAAAAACACCAAACACTAGGGATGCACAGATACCAAGTACTGTACAGATACTTTTCCAGCTATTAGACTAGGGAAAAACTTAGGAGGCAGCTATCTTTTTTAAGGAGCATTGGCTATGGGGCTCATGGGATTTGTGCATCCCGCAAAAAACAATACCCCAAATTTCTCATAGGCGATGCTTTATAAGCTTTTACTGCTCATCAGTTTATCTGGGGCGCCCGACACATGCTTGCATTGTATGTGCGTGCACATGGGGGGCGGGGGACTTCCCAAAAAAAGTTTTGCACTTTTTTTTTTTCCTATGTTACTTTGAATTTTTTGAATTTAGGGGGTTTGTTTTTTTTTCCAGTCAACTTTATTGCTATCACATAGGGGGCTAACAAGCCCCCTATGTAATAGCAAATAATATGTGACAGGTCCTCTTTATGGAGACCCCTAATGTCACCTGGGGCCCCCAAAGAAGCTGAGGTAGCAGAGATCTGCTTCACCAGCTTCTTCTCCTGAGCCAGAGAGTGTGCACAGTGACACCGGAAGTGATGTAATACACATCACTTCCACGTCCAGTGATCAGAGGAGAGATCAACGGCTAGAAGCTTGCTGATCTTCCACCGATCGTCAGGGAAGACCCGCTGTGCTGGTCCTGGGATCGTACAGGGGACAGCGGAGATCGGGAAGCTGGCAGCGGAGGTGGGGGGCACACATTCTGATTCATCGTACAAGCTCTCCAGCATCTGTATTGCTTGTATCTAAACAGCAATCACTGGCTGCTTAGAATGATACAAAGAATACGGCTGCAGCAGCAGCCGTGTTTTTGGTATAACCGCTTCAGGACATTACGTATTTTGACGGTGGGCTGTCCTGAAACACTTTGCATCATTACCAGTACTGTGCTAGCAACACAACAGTGATGCAAACACAGCAACACTATGAGAGGAATTTATCAAAACTGGAGCAGACAGAATCTGGAACAGTTGCCCAGGGCAACTTTGCCTGCTGCAGTATTGATAAATCCCCCTCTGTGTCTATATTAATCCCATGTGAAGCTTACAGTAAGCTTCAGTAAACTAAACAACCCTTTTTGTTTAATCTTATGCAAAAATGCATATACGCACATTGTTATGTTATCACTGACTTTTGTTCCTTTATGTGTAGGAGAAGAAGCTAGAAGAGTCTATGATGATGCTCAAAATTTGCTACAATTTATAATCAGTCGAAAGAAATTTGAAGCCCGTTGTGTTGTAGGCATCTGGCCAGCACAGAGCATTCGGGATGACATTTTGTTATATACTGGAGAAGATGTGCTGCACTCTTCAGAGCCCATTGCCATTTTCCATGGACTAAGGCAACAGGTGACCGGTGCCATTTTTTTTTTCATAGATCGTGTGTTAAAATGTAAATATACTGCTTTTTTGGTCAGTTTTGTTTGATTTTAAAATGTAAAGATGATTGGCAGCCAACCTTTTTAGTTGTTTTCTACAGAGCTGGGAAGGGATAGAGCACAATTCCTTCCATTGACATCAATAATGGGCAGGACTTGAAAGATTTTAGGGCGTCTTACCAGTCAGTCAAAAATGTCACCAGTCAGCATGACCGGATTATAGTCTTGCAATTTATGTTAAAAAATTTTCGGGACAGATAAAGCTTTCTTTTGGTGGTATATAATCACCACTGGGGTTTTTATTTTTTACTATATAATGAAAAAAGTACCGTAAATTTTCGGGGGAAATTTTTTTCCCCTATGTTATGTTAAAAACATTTATTCTTACCCATATTTTTGGTAAAATATAAAAGACAGGGTCACGTCGGGTAAATAGACACCAAACATGTAAAACTTGAAAATTGCGTGCGCCCGCAAAATTGCAAAAAATACCATACCCAAGTTCTCGATCGTCTCCCTGCAGTGATCGTTGACTGGCAGTCACCGCTGCCCGCAGAGATTCCCCCCTCCCCTCTCCGATCCTCCAGCGCTGAGTGGAGGAATAAACGGGGGAGAGGGTGGGCACAGTGGCTCTGCCTCTAGATAGGTAGAGCCAGCTGTCACTCACGCAGCTGGGTGGATCTAGACAGTAATGTCAGGATCCGTCCTGGCTGCAGTGCTCACAGTATATTAGCGGGCTATTGCCCACGATATACTGAGCTTTGGTCCCGAGACTGGCAATGGCAGTGACAGTGGCGGAACAATGTGAGAATATTCCTCCCGCTAATACCATCAATGAGACACTATTCTCCCCACTGACAACAACCATGGGCACTATTCCTCCCACTGACCCCAACAATGGAGCACCATTTCACCCCTTGATACCAACGATGGGGCACTATACCACCTGCTGATACCAAAAAAGGAGCATGATAGAGCCTCTGTTATGGTTTTTTTTTGCGTCCCTATTAGGGAGAGTTTACCAATTTCATGAAAAGGACACAGACTAACATAAAAGCACATTTTTAGGGAGGAATGTTTAAAACTTTTGACAATGTCTTTATTGATGTCTGTACTTTCCTGTTGATTCATGTAGATTGATCTTATCCAAAATCTTGGATATTTTTTAGGGCTGCGGAAATTAACGATTAATTCCTCGATTAATCTTTAATTTTTTTGATCGATTAAAATTCTTTTGATCGGTACTCACCTCTCTGCCGGCTTCCGGGTCTGTCCATGACGTCAGCGGACTCCTCCCCCCTTCCCCAAGTGGCTCAGTCAGCTAACGAAGGGAAGGGGGAGAAGTCAGGTGACATCAATGTCCGTGACGTCACCGGACTCCTCCCCCCTTCCCTTCATTAGCCGACGGAACCACTTGGGCTGGGGATTGTTCTAAGGAAATTCCTACAAGTCCTGTGGAAGACAGACAACTGCAGAGCGTGCCAGGGAATCCCTCTTCCTTCTTCAAGCCGTAGTACTTCCTCCAAGCTTCCATAGAGACCTGAGGATGGGGGAATACAATGCAAGAGCCTATGTGTTGAACCCACGATCATTGCAACGCTCTGCAGGCTTCGCTGCAAAAACGAAGTATCTTCACATTACTCATGAGATGAATGTTGCTGCATTCACTACTTTTTTTTAAGGTGGACTTTGAATGGATTTTGCATCCCCATAGACATGTATGGGAATGCAAAACAATCAAATGCCTATTGACCTCCTAGGGTGTCAGATGGGGTCCCTTGAGGGAGGGAAGTCAGGCGGTCGCAGAACTCGATAAGTGTCGACAGATTACCGGCCCAAGTGGCTCCATCGGCTAACGAAGGGAAGGAGGAGGAGTCCGGTGACGTCAATGTTCGTGACATCACCAGACTCCTCCCCCTTCCACAAGTGGCTCCATCGGCTAACGAAGGGAAGGGGGAGGAGTCCGGTTACGCCGATGTCCGTGACGTCACCTGACTCCTCCCCCCTTCCCTTTGTTAGCCGACGGAGCCACTTGGGCCGGTGATCTGTCGACACTTATCGAGTTCTGTGACCGCCTGACTTCCGGTTTCGTTACAACTTAGAGGTTTGCCCAAGAAACTTGTTCTGCACGAGCGCCAGCCAAGGCATTGGACTATACACATACAGCACAGTAATTAAGTAATAAAATGAACTAAGATCACACTAATCCAGCACGTTATTATTCTGAGTTGCCCCACTCAAGCGGCGGCCATATTGAGTGGGGCACGTGAGATTAATAACGTGCTGGATTAGTGTGATCCCAGTTCATTTTATTACTTCATTGCTGTGCTGTATGTGTATAGGCCAATGTAGTTGGATCTGTATGTGCGTTTATAATTAATCCAAATTAATCGATTAAAAAAATTTGATTAATCGAACACAAAAATGTTAATCCCTAATATATTTTTTTTTTTTTTTAGTTCTTTAAAACTTTTTACATTTCATACTGGGTGCTTCTGTTCTGCAGAAAATATTGGACTCACGGAACAAAGAGAATTCATACATACTGGGATGAGTCATCCTTTTGTGTATTTACATTTTAATTTGAGCTGATGACTTTTTACAACAATATGAAAATAGGAGAAAATAGTTTAAAACGTCCTAAAGCTTTATCTGCTAGATAAAAAATATTAATGAGAAATATTCCATATATACTTAAAATTGTATGCAGTTTAAAAAAAATTTTTTTATTCCTTATCATATTAAAAAAATAAAGTATTTCCTCACTCCATTACTTTGATGCCTGCTATCCTCAGGCTTAGGTGGCAAATGATACCCAGAAACGTTGAGGCGTGTTGATAGGCTTCCATAGATCCACAAATTGTATACCCTGTTTCCCCGAAAATAAGACCTACCCTGAAAATAAGACCTAGTACTATTTTTGGGAATTGCTAAAATATAAGACCTACCCCGAAAATAAGACCTGGTTGTGACCATTCCCAGGGCCGGTGGTGGCATTAGGGGGAACTTGAAGAGCCGCGAGAGAGGAGGGAGAGAATCAGCGGTGCCATGAGGCCAGCGTTAGAGGAAATGAGGCAGCATCAGAGGGAGCAGAGCCGCATAAGCCTCCTCTATAGAGCCGGCTCCTGTCACAGCCGGAGTGATACCAAATGCACTCCGCCTGTGAGGAATCGATAGTGAAAGCGTGCTTTGCTCATTCTGGCCAGCCATTGGTTAGCAAATTGCTCTTGGAAAGGTACGACACCCCTGATTGCTCTGATCACCATATTTTTGTGCATGAATACATGTAGACTTTTCTACATGAATAAGTGGATTGTTGTACATTTAAAAAAAAAAATAAGACCTACCCCGAAATTAAGACCTAGTGTGTTTTTTGGAGCCCAAAAAAATATAAGACGGTGTCTTATTTTAGGGGAAACATGGTGTTTGTAAGATCCGAGATCCATCTGGACACTATCTGCTGGTGGTAGGCCTCTTACACGTCACTGAGGTTATTATAGTATCATATTATGCAACAACACTTCTTCAATCACCTATTCCATCACCTATTCCAAGTGGTGGCCCACTATACCCTCAAATCCACATTTATACAAATCCAGTACAAATTACTTCTACGCTGTTAGAGAGAACCTCACAACCTTTTTATTAGAATTGACCATATCTTTGTCCACGTATCCACACTAGCTTTGCTTGATGATTCACATATGATTTCTGTTCAGTTACTCCCAGATGATCTGCCAGAGACTGAACTCCATGACTCCCTGCTTTCAGATGCCATCATTGACAATAAGATACAACTAGGGATGCACTGATACTGTGAATTTTCACTCATACTCTTAAAATGCTTCAATACTAAGAGCCGATACCGACACTTTCAATTTCTAAATGGTAAACAGGCACCACGGTTAACAGGAAAGCTGCCGAGGTCCCCAGCAAGGTCCTGGCAGCCCACCATAGAACCTGCACAGCCACCTTAGAGTCTGTACAGTCCAGCAAGGTCCTGGCAGCCTTCCTGTGGATTGCGGTGCCTGTTTACAGTGCTGGCCACAAATCTCTTCCTTCCATGACGCCCGCACCCACCGAGACCAACCAGGACCGCTGGTGGGATCACACAGCCCACCATAGACTCTGCACAGCCACCGTAAAGCCAGCACAGCCCACCATAGACTCAGCATAGCCCACCTGAGAGTCCACACAGTCCACCTGAGAGACAAATTGTATACCCTGTTTCCCCGAAAATAAGACCTACCCTGAAAATAAGACCTAGTACTATTTTTGGGAATTGCTAAAATATAAGACCTACCCCGAAAATAAGACCTGGTTGTGACCATTCCCAGGGCCGGTGGTGGCATTAGGGGGAACTTGAAGAGCCGCGAGAGAGGAGGGAGAGAATCAGCGGTGCCATGAGGCCAGCGTTAGAGGAAATGAGGCAGCATCAGAGGGAGCAGAGCCGCATAAGCCTCCTCTATAGAGCCGGCTCCTGTCACAGCCGGAGTGATACCAAATGCACTCCGCCTGTGAGGAATCGATAGTGAAAGCGTGCTTTGCTCATTCTGGCCAGCCATTGGTTAGCAAATTGCTCTTGGAAAGGTACGACACCCCTGATTGCTCTGATCACCATATTTTTGTGCATGAATACATGTAGACTTTTCTACATGAATAAGTGGATTGTTGTACATTTAAAAAAAAAAATAAGACCTACCCCGAAATTAAGACCTAGTGTGTTTTTTGGAGCCCAAAAAAATATAAGACGGTGTCTTATTTTAGGGGAAACATGGTGTTTGTAAGATCCGAGATCCATCTGGACACTATCTGCTGGTGGTAGGCCTCTTACACGTCACTGAGGTTATTATAGTATCATATTATGCAACAACACTTCTTCAATCACCTATTCCATCACCTATTCCAAGTGGTGGCCCACTATACCCTCAAATCCACATTTATACAAATCCAGTACAAATTACTTCTACGCTGTTAGAGAGAACCTCACAACCTTTTTATTAGAATTGACCATATCTTTGTCCACGTATCCACACTAGCTTTGCTTGATGATTCACATATGATTTCTGTTCAGTTACTCCCAGATGATCTGCCAGAGACTGAACTCCATGACTCCCTGCTTTCAGATGCCATCATTGACAATAAGATACAACTAGGGATGCACTGATACTGTGAATTTTCACTCATACTCTTAAAATGCTTCAATACTAAGAGCCGATACCGACACTTTCAATTTCTAAATGGTAAACAGGCACCACGGTTAACAGGAAAGCTGCCGAGGTCCCCAGCAAGGTCCTGGCAGCCCACCATAGAACCTGCACAGCCACCTTAGAGTCTGTACAGTCCAGCAAGGTCCTGGCAGCCTTCCTGTGGATTGCGGTGCCTGTTTACAGTGCTGGCCACAAATCTCTTCCTTCCATGACGCCCGCACCCACCGAGACCAACCAGGACCGCTGGTGGGATCACACAGCCCACCATAGACTCTGCACAGCCACCGTAAAGCCAGCACAGCCCACCATAGACTCAGCATAGCCCACCTGAGAGTCCACACAGTCCACCTGAGAGTCCGCACAACCCACCATAGAAACCGCACAGCCCACCTGAGAGTCTGCACAGCCCACCTGAGAGTCTGCACAGCCACCATAGACCCAGTATAGCCCATCTGAGAGCCTGCACAGCTCACCATATAACCTTCACAGCCACCAGAGAGCTAGCACAGCCCACCATAGAACCCGCACTGCCCACCGTAGAACCTGCACTGCCCCCTGAGACCCCACACAGCACATCTGAGACCCGACACAGCCACCTAAGACCCTCTGCCGGAGACATCAGGCCGGCAGCACAGAGTATGTAACATGATATTATTCTGTAAATTATCTACAGAGACTTCTGCGCTCGATTAATCTAAGAAAACTGGGCGTCTCTCCTTACTGCTGCTTACTTAAATTGGCTGCATGAGCCTGCATTAGTATCATTCAAACAAGTGAAGCTGCGCTATCGCCCAACAAGTAAAAATTTGCAAAAAAACAAATATTATAGTGAACGAAACTATTGTGAGAGAAAAGAAAAAAAAATATGTATATATAATATTTTTCAAATATTTTCCAAATGAAATCTTCTAGTCAACTGTTTGTGTAAATCACAAGGTGATAATCTAAAAAAACTCCAAATGACTAATAAAGTAGCAAACGTCCTGTGTCAGTGTGTAAAACACATAATTGAAACAAAGTGTCCATAAATTAATTTAACACAGGCAGCTCTCAAAAAAAAGTGTTTTCTTAGTCTTTCTTTGTGCGTCACTCTGCCCACTCTTGTAATTTCTTGTGTATTTTTTGCTGAACTGCTCATCAAAAACACCAGTGCTCTGATAAATAAGCCTCTCACCTCCATGTTCAGACCCTTGGGTCTCAAAGTGCTTCTTATAGGGTAAAACTCCTTCCTCACACAATTTGAAGCTGTGATCTTCCTTCCTTCAGATGAGACCAATCCTGATCTTAATGTTTTTCTCCTCTACCGACAGCCCAACTTCATCTCAAAAAGATCTCTCAAAGACAGAAGTGGAAATCATAGCGCACACCGTATGCATAAAAAGATTTTATTTTAGAAAATACACTCACGGGGCGTGGCTTGGCAATGGCCGTGTGAGGCAGCAGACACCTGTAGCTCCGGACACAGTTTCTTCATTACAGGCACCTGGAGCCACTTCATCGACTACCTGCAGCATGTCAAAGAAGGGCAAGCACAAGGGGCGCAAGTCGACCCCTAAATCGGCCTTCCACCGCCTGTTTGATGGGGCCACTTCCTCGGAGGAGAAGAGGCCTCAGTCTCACCGCTCTGCAGTGCAGAGAGAGCCGCCGGATACCACACAGCGTCGGGCGGATTTGGCTCCTCCCACTCCGCTACGGGAGACTCGCCAGTCTAAAAAACCGGAGGGGTTGGAGCTCCGGCACCTGGAGAACCCCCACTGGACCCAGCAGCGGGACCTGCAGGCATCCCTAACGTCAGCACGGGACACGGAGGAGAGGAGGCCGTCACCGCGCCGCTCTCCGTTGTTGACCGGGCCGCAGGACGCCACCTCGCAAGGGACTGACTTGGCTCCTCCCACCCCGACTCCTGGAGCAGGCCAAGACGGGGAACCAGAGGACATGGGCCCGCAGCAGACGGAGGGGGACGACTGGGCCCTACAGCAACACCCACAGCTGTCTCCCTCCAGAGAAAAGAAGAAATAATGACCCACGCTTGGAAGAAAGGTATGCTGGATTTTGATGGTGCCCAAATTCGCCTGTATTCAGATGTCTCCAGACATACGTTATTGATGAGACGCATTCTCCGTCCTCTCCTGGAGAAGATCCGCGACTGTGGTGCAACCTATAAATGGGGATACCCGTTTCACCTTATTGTCCAAAAGATGGACTCATCCTTTCGCCTGTACTCCCCTGAGGACCTCCCGGCGCTCTTCTCCTTTCTGTAAACGGACCCCATCCCCGTGCCTAATTGGCTGCAAGCTCTTTTGGATCCTGGCAGCAGATGGGGCCCATGCCGCTGGACGCCCACCCGTGTCCCGACCTCTAATTGATACCATCCATCGGATCGGCCAGTTAGATGACCTCTGCAGACACCCAGGGAACGGGGTCCCCAACACCTGGCCCCATCACACAATGAACCATAGATGGCATGCAGTCGAGTGGGCGGCTACCAGGTCACCACACCCAGGAACTCGGGGATGGTGACTTTGAGATTCAGTTTTTTTTTTTTTACCCACAAACCTGAGCGCGGCGATTGACCGAGGGAATACCAATGTTGACTGTGCTCAATGTCTGACATCTCGGGGATTGTGTTCCTCAAGAGCGGTTTTCCTTGCATTAGGGCAGTTATTTTAGATACGCCTGTAAGAGAAGTGATTTACATGACTACCTCTTGCATTACCTTGTGTGTGCTGGTCCTCCCTGGGGGTCTCCCCGGGCCCCTTGCTGGCCTCCGCCTGTGCGGGGGGGCCCGGGGGGATCCCCGGGAGGGGGGTCCCTGTGGGGACCTGGTGCCTAGTATCCTCAGGTCATATTCCTATGCCATGTTATATGCCTATGTCCTTGAGAGTGCTTATTCCTGCTTCCGGATGGCTCCTCTAAATACACCTGTAGGATAGAGACTTACATGATTGCCTTTTACATTAGGCATGTTCCATATCCAGCATCTCATGGATGTATCCCTCGAGAGGAGGTATCCTTGATCTAGGGCATTCATTCTGGACACATATGCGGGATAGAGATTTATATGTATACCCTTAGCATTCTCTTGTTTATGCTGGACCTCTTGGGTGCTCTCTCCGGGCTCCTTGCCACCCCCCGCCTGTGGGGAGGCGTCTGCGGGGGGGCCTGGAGAGACCCCGGGGCGGGGAGTCCCTGTGGGGACTTAGGACCTAGTTTCCTCAGGTAACACCCCTATGCCATGTTTTATGCCGATTTCCTTGAGAGAGGTTATTCTAGCTTTGGGGCAACTCTCCCAGGTACACATATGAGATAGAGATTTACAGGATTACCTCTTGTATTCACTTGTTTGGGTGGGAACTCCCCGGGGCTCTATCCAGGCGCCTCGCAACCCTCCGACTGTACAGGGAAGTCTGCGGGGGGGACTGGAGCGATCCCCAGGGGAGAAATCCCTTTGGAAGCTTAAAGCCTATTACCCTCAGGTCATGTTTCTATACACAGTTGCGAGCCTTTCAATGCAATGCGCGGGCTGCAGGCGACGGCGCCACGCATAGTGGCGCCCACCCCTGCCTGCTTGCACTAGCTCTCTCTGGGAGACTCTTCGGGTCGGCCGCCCCCCCACCACCTTTGTCAGGGGGGGGCCTAGGGGGGTTTTGTAGGGAGACTTCGGGTGGGTGACGTGTTGCGCGCCCGGGGGAATTTTGTCCCGACGGTGGGCGGCGGCTACTGCAAGGTTTGTTTTTGGGGGGCGGGCGCCCTCTTCCCCCGGCGAGAGACAGTCTTGTGGAGCTTTCGGGTGTGGGCTGGCTGTGTTGCCCCCGTCAGGTGGGACGGGGGCGCGGAGACCGCCCTCCTCTGGCTACACATGATAATTTTTACAGACATGTATATATTTTGTATGTTTTAAACTGCTCAGGTGCCAATCATTTACCTGTATTTACTTTCAACTGAAGCTGTGAACCCGGAGCTGGTTGAAACTTAACCTCTCCGAGACCCATTGCCAAGCCTATTCATTTTTGGTTTTTGTTTTTCCCCCCTTAGGCCAGGCAATCCCTGGACCCCACGGTCTGGAGTTTTTGCCACTGAGGTTTAGCCCTCACATAGACAACCCCCTATTCTGCTGATCTAGCAGGCTCAACCCGACCTCTGTCGCCCTTCCCTCCCACGTTCTCCTCCCGTCCCCTCTCTGCTTTATCCTCTTCTTATTTATTTTCTCCTCTCACATACCTCTCCCCTCTCTCTTTCTCTTATTCTCGTCTCTCGTCCCCTCCGCCTCTCTCTCTCATCCCTCCTAGTCACCCTATACTACTGTCCTCCGTTCACTTACTGCTCCCGTCGATTGCTGGGACATGGAGGAGCTAAAGCTGGTCACCATTAACGCCAAGGGTCTTAATACCCCTGAAAAAAGGAAAACGCTGCTGCACGACCTTGGGAGATGGGGATCCCATGTGGCTTTCATACAGGAGACCCACTTTAGAGCTGACGCTGCTCCTTCGCTTAAAGATTTCCATTACCCGTTCTCCTACCACTCTTGCAATGAGTCTTCCAAATCCAGAGGGGTTTCTATAGTGCTTTCTAGACGAATACCTTGGACGTTCACAGACTGTCAGACAGATGCTGAGGGACAGTATTTGCTCTTGAAGGGCAAAATTGGTCTCAAGGCGGTCACGTTCGCAGCCATCTACGCCCCAAACTCTAATCAGGGGACCTTCCTGGAAGGTATTCTAGATAGGTTACTGACCTATACCGAAGGGATCCTGATCCTAGGCGGCGATTTCAATCTCTCTCTGGACCCGTCCCTTGACTCCTCTTCGGGATCGTCTTCCCGGTCTCCTACGGCTAGTAGACGCATCCTCAGATCTCTACATCGTTCCCAGCTGGTCGACGCTTGGCGTCTACAACACCCAACCGTAAAAGACTTTACCTTTTACTCTATACCGCATGACACGTACTCTAGGATAGATATGTTCTTTGTTCCCCACCAACACCTGGCGCTGATACTTACCACAGACATTGGCACTATCACATGGTCCGACCATGCTCCGGTCTTCATGCACATTGCCCTGTCGGATAGCCCCTCTCACGCCTTAATGATAGTCTTCTGCAAGACCCGCTCATACGGACCGATGTCGCCAAGGAGTTGCCATCCTACTTCGTCCTCAATGACGTAGAGGAATGCGACCCGGTCCTCCGCTGGGAAGCACATAAAGTCTTTATCAGAGGTGTTTTAATCAAACATGGATCGCGAGTTAAACGTCAGAGGGAGGCAGAATGGCTCTCTTGCACACCCTACACAGCCTGGAGCTTCGGCACAAATCGACAGGCTCACCTACCCCGCTAGCAGACATACTCTCCACACGCAGACAGATAAACTCACTGACTTTCTATAAAGCGAAAATGGCCCTTACGTGCTGTAGGCGGAAATATTATGAGTCTGGTGATAAATGCGGGAAGCTTTTAGCTAGAGCGCTACGTGAACAACGGCAGCTCTTTTATGTATCACATGTGGTAACATCACACCACACTAGGGTGTCCCTACCGAAAGCAATAGCTAATGCCTTCCGAGATTACTACTCCAAATTGTACAACCTGCACCCCCCTTCTGACCCTGCTCCTCAGGGCACCTTACAGGGTAAAATTGCCTCTTACCTATCCTCGAGCGCTCTGTCCTCTCTGGACCCACTGGATAGGGAAGCACTGGAGGCTCCTATAACATCGGATGAATTCAACGTGGCTCTCAAAACCACCAAGACAGGGAAGTCACCGGGCCCTGATGGCTTCACGACCCACTACTATAAGCTTTTATCCGCAGAGCTGGCAGGCCACTTTACGAACGCATTCAATGCCATGTCCTCCTCTTCGCGGCTTACTCGAGACTCTCTCTCTGCTCATATCTCTGTTATCCCAAAAGAAGGCATGGATCCCTCTTCTTGTGGCAGTTACCGCCCTATATCTCTCCTAAACACTGACCTGAAGCTGTTTACTAAAATATTAGCGACTAGACTGAGCCCCCACATGCCTGCCTTGATACACTATGACCAAGTTGAGTTCATTCCGGCGAGGGAAGCTCGTGATAACACCATTAAGACCTGTCATCTTGTCCATTACGCGGCGACATCCAAACTGCCTTGTCTCTTCCTCTCTACCAATGCTGAAAAGGCCTTTGATCGGGTCTCGTGGGACTTCCTGTTTGCTACTCTGAAGCACATTGGTCTGGGAGAACACATGTTATCCTGGGTTTCGGCGGTGTACTCCATCCCAACCGCATGTGCCAAGGTGAATGGCGTTTTATCTGACCCTTTTCCAATCACGAATGGCACCAGGCAGGGCTGCCCCCTTTCACCACTCCTATTCGCCCTCTCGCTGGAGCCATTCTTGGGCCATATTAGATCCAATGTGGACGTGAACGGGATTAAAATGGGATCAAAGGAGTACAAATTATCTGCTTATGCGGATGACATGATGTTCTCTCTGACCAACCCGGTAATCTCCCTACCTAATCTTATGCAGGAATTTGCGGTGTATGGAGAGCTGTCCAACCTGAAGATCAACTTCGGCAAATCCACTGCCATGGGAATCTCTCTCCCACCTCCCCTCACTCGCTCTCTGCAGAATAATTTTCATTTCCAGTGGACAACCCGAGCGCTGAAATACCTGGGCACGTTCATACCTCCGGACATGAAAGATACCTTTACTTACAATTTCCCTCCTCTTCTGGCACAGGTACGCGTGCTACTCTCCAACTGGCAGAAGGGCTTCTTTTCCTGGTTTGGGCGGTGCTACACTATCAAAATGACTATTTTGCCAACATTTCTGTATCTCTTTCAAGCACTTCCCATAGCGATCCCAGATAGGTACTTTCGGCAGGTTACCTCGTTACTGACGAAATTTGTCTGGGCTAACCGCCACCCTCCCTTGAGCCGCTCCCTAATCACTTTACCCAAAGACTCAGGGGGGTATAGCCCTTCCTGATTTACGGAAATACTATATAGCTAGCCATTTGGTTTGCTTAGTTGACTGGTGCA